AGTGTCCAGAAAAGCGCTATATAAGTGTAAGCAATTATTATTATTATTATTATTATTATTATTATTATAACACGCTGCTGAGGTAGAGATGTTACACACAATGAAACGGAGCACAGTGATCGTAACCTGCTTCATAAAACTACACACTCACGAGACGTTTCACAACAAATAAACATTTGCACTCATCAGTACTCCTCCTCTTAGCATCCGATCAGCTTCTTCTGCCCCGAACTCTACTAGCGGACAACAGGGGTACAGCACACCAGTGTAGAGGTACATGTTTTAAGAAATTAACCACAAAAACGCAGCTTGTATGATTTCTGCATACGAGAAACAAATCAAGTAGAGTTTCCAGATTATTTTGTTCTGACAATTCATTAACAAACGTGCAAGATGCCTGCTCTGAGAACTGAGCACTAATGTTCAACGTGTAGGTTCAGCTGTCAGCCCTGCTCAGAGAGGACCTGTCTCTCTTGTGCTCTCTCTCTGTTTCACGGTGTCCGCTGTCCCGCCCGAAGCCCAGCCGGCAGCGGAGCAGGAGCTGCTTACCGAGAGGGATGACTTGAGCGAGTGGCCACTTTCCTCTCGGACAGCGAAGGAGGCCGTGCGAGCCAGGCAGCCCAGCTCTCTCCACACCCCCTCCCACTTCAGGCTGTGGTTGGTCCTCCAGATGGGGAACTGCAAGTGCAAGACAGCACAGCGCAGCGCGGTCAGACCATCAGGCCAGGACTCGAGCCCCATGAGCCCCACATCCACCCCCACGAGCTGCCACGAGCTCCCATGAGCCCCACACAAGCCCAGGCCCTGTGCCCCTGCAGATGCACCGCTGCATTTCTCTACTCTTTTAATTTGTTTTTAAAAAAAATCAGCACTCCTCTACAATGAAACTGTATCTTTTTGCTGCTAGCAGAAACCAAAAGGGAAAATCAAATCGCCAATGATCATTTTCCCCCCAGGTTACAACTGTAATCTTTATGTAACAGTAAGATAAACAAAATGAAACGAGTCAGTGTAGCTTTTGTTCCAGATCACATTCTGCTGTGAAGTGCAGGAGGTGAAGACAGACATTCCTGCTTACATTGATCTCTGTGGAGATGCCTCGGTCGGTCTCTCGGAGGGAGCTCCAGGGAAACTGGCCCGTCACCTTGTACAGGTTGAGAGAGAAGCTGCAGAAAGAAAACCACCAGGTGAAACACAATATCATTCCTCCCCACTTCCCGCAAACTGTCACACCACATCACCAGACTCCAGCATTATGGATAACTGCCTTAATATACTGATCATCCAAAATAACTCCTATTTATGCATGCAGTTTTAATGAAATACAATATTCCATATAAATATGGAATATTGAAGAAATGTTTTTGGAACCATTTTAATTGATTTGTCATTCATGCACAGGTGAGGAGGTGATTTAACCAGTTGAATGCCAAGCCTGATGTACATCGAGAAAGTAAAATGGATTGATCAAAAGAACCACCTTTGTGCATTCAGTGTGTTAGAACAACACTTCAGGTTGGCCTACCCGCAGTGGAGCCAGGTTGTCTTTACTGAGGTTTTATGCAGATCATGGATCAAGAAGTGTGGCGCAAATGTACAGATTTCGTTGTTTCTCCCTTCAATGGGGAGATCCCAATAGGAGGACCTGCTTAGGAGTAACTAGATGCTACAGGACTCCTCTTGTATTGACTGACGGGAGCCTGACTGATCAAGTCCTGTAGTCTCCTGGGGGCCCAGCAGGATGTGACACAAAGTGACAGCACAAGGGACAACACACATCCGCCCTCATGCCGCTCATGCATCAACAGCTTTGTTGCAAGCTATGAATGGGACCTGCTGTGCCAAGGATGCCCTACTTGTCAGGCTTGAGCTCCTAGGAACATTTGTAGATTGAGCTCTGATGGGTGGAATCTAGAGACCAGGGAACAGGGCAATGGGACAGCATTTGCAACCTGGTGCAAAGCAGGCTTCTAATGACGGTCACACATCCTACTACTCTCTTTTTCACAGAAGACTCCCCCCATAATGATCAATCCCTTCTTAGGCCAGTAAGGCTGGAGGCGAGAGGAAGAAGAGGAGGCCATCCGCTCGATCTCGCCCGGTTGGCCGTCAGGAGCTTATTGACCCGAGATTAAATAGCTCAAAAAGCCACTGTCTCAATCAAAGGCTCACTTGCGTTCGAACTGCCCAGGCTGAGGTTTGAAGAACGACAGCCCGTAGGAGGTCTCCTTGGTGCCGTACGAGAACTGGAAGGTCAGTTTTTCAGCTCGGCCAAACAGGTTGGGCAGTTTAAGCCCAAGTACCTTAAAGAAATAAACAATTAGCACATTACAGTGAGACACAACATGCACGGCCACATTGTTCTCAACCTTCAGCACCACACTGGAATCCCTACTTCTGCTTGTTGTCATCGATAGACACACGAGCACTGCTGGACTTTACCAAACTGGAGCCTGAGCCTCCAGCAAAACTTCTCAGCTTTTACATCTCACAAACTGCACAACCCTCACCCTGTCCTGTCTGAAATTAGTTTACATGAGTTTAAGCTACACAGCAGCTCATGATGTATAAAACATTGAGAACTGAAGTATGAGTTCAACATGAAGAATTTAGTACCTTTCGGCATTTATTTCAAATACACTTTTCTAAAACACTAAAAAGAGGAAGGCTTTCGGTCCAAACTGGTCATTTAGATGCTAGTTAAAAAATTGACCCAAGTCTCTCATTCATCACTTTCCTAAAGGATCTCAAGAAATCAGCTTGTTCCAGACACCCACCACCCTCTGTGTAAGTGCCTCCTGGTCTTAACACAGGATGCAGTTCCACAGAGACATTCCCAGGGTTGGGTTCAATTCCAGTGTTCCAATCCCAATTCCCCACTTCTAACCGATTATCAATGCCATGAATGTAAAAAAGGAACTGGACCAGAGAATTAAGTTGAAAATTGTGTCCTCAGGAGAAAAGAGTGTGAGTTTACAGTAGCACAGATGGTGTTTTTTAAGCTGTATGCACCAGGGTGCAGCTGTTAGCGGTCCCTGGAACTCTCTCTGGGTAGAGATACTTACCATGCTGCCTTCATTGTTGCCCACCATAGTGTTGTAGCTCCCAGTGAGCCTTCTCAGCTCTGTTACTTCAAATGTGACGTCTAACCCATTGGGCAGGGCATCCTCTCCTGCAACGAAGCACTGGCATTCACTCGAAATACAGAGGCTGGCAGCTTTTCTGCAGTCGGAGCTGCTGAGTCTAAATCAAATCAGAAAGATGAGTATCCAGGTCTTTTACAATGAGCTAAATTTTCTTTAGGAACAGTTTTAAGCAGTATGACCCACGGTCACATGGTGCTGTCCACAAGATGAGGGGGGTGCCCCTGCCTAAATTCTACTCTGGTCTTGTACAGTCTGGACTCCCTGAAGCTTCTGTATAATTAACATTCGGGAGAGAACGAGCACGTCCGAACCAGAGGAGCCTCTTCTGCCCTGGTAAGTACATGCTCCGCAGCAAGGGGTACCTTCAGAGGTGTCGATCACAACCTCCACTTGTCGGAAGATCCCCAAGCGCAGCAGCTTCTCTCGGGCCTCATGGGATTTCTTCATGACCTGCAGCAAGCACACACCATCACACATCACCAGGGGTCGGGAGTCAGGGGTCAGGGGTCAGGGCTGGAGCACCACTCTGGAATGCGGATCCCAGGCCACTGCTGAAGTTTGAGTCTTCCAATAATTTAAACACCTAATTGATCGCTAGTTACTTAATGAGCTGCTCTCCACTGGGTTAATGGCTGTGCTGGAGCACAGGCTTGAAAGGCTGGGCATCCCGGGTTAATAGAAACAACAGGACACAACCTGCAGCTGCTTTTCACTGTGCGTCCAGTTCTGAGGCTCCTGTCACGCAGCTGGTCTGGCTGGTTTAGGGGGGAGGCAACAAGGCAACATGATTCACTGAGCATGCTAGAAGCAGGAATTGTCAACTATCACTGACTGGGGATCACAGTGCAAGAGAAATTGCCTTTATTTAAATTGCCCCCCACTGGGATGAATAAAGTATTTTGAACTGAACCGAATGGAATAGAACAGGCCAGCTCTCTCAGGGCTGGTACCCACATCGATGAGGTTCCTGGCACCAAAGACATCGGCGATCTCGTATCCAAGGAGGTCCTCTTTAGTTCTCCCCAAGCCATCGATGTGAACACGCTGCACGACGACCTGACAAAGAGAGAACCCAGAGTTACACACTGACGCTGCTTGCACACCTGGCTCTCAGGAGAGTTACTGTCTTCATTTCCTACACCTGGAGAGTTATACAGGACTCCACTTCCACACCAGGAGAACGACAGACTGACTCTACTTCCACACCTGGCTCTCAACACATGCTTACTGCACAGTCCTGAAACGACCATCTCTCAGCAGAAGACCATATACCCTTACACTTCCTTTCAGTGCAGTGTGAACAAACCCTCTTCTCTCCTTTTTGCAGTAAAAGGAGAAACGCATTGAAACGTGGAGCCCGGGGAGCGTCACTGGAGACGGGAGAGGTATCCGGCTGGCCCTCACCACAAGTCTACGGACTCGACTGGACTGCAGACGCTGGCCGTCGAGCCCAGGAGGAGCTCGAGCAGGGAGCAGGTTAGGGTCCATTCCCCGCCGACAGGGCAAGAGGAGCTGCGGAGCCTTGTTCAGGTGTGAGGGAGAGAGGGGAACCGGCAGGTACGCAACGCGTGGGAGAACAAAAGAGAGCAGCTGATAAAGAGTCATCGACACTCAGGGAGAACAGGAGGAGAGGACACCAGGGTTACACCCCTACTCTTTTCAAGAAACGCCCTGGGATTTTTAATGACCACAGAGAGTCAGGACCTCGGTTTTACGTCTCATCTGAAGGACGACGCCTGTTTACAGTCTAGTGTCCCCGTCACTATACTGGGGCATTAGGACCCACATGGACCACAGGGTGAGCGCCCCCTGCTGGTCCCGCTGACACCTCTCCCAGAAGTAGCTTTCCCAGGAGGTTAGAGGCCAGACCACTACACTTCAGAGACCTTGGTATGGAGGTTTATTCCTCCTCACATACTCTCACACGCAGAGCTGCTGCTGCCCAGGGATCAGCTGCTGGTGTAGACAGCTCCCTCCTGCAGAGCTGCACTTCGCCCCCAGGGGGCACCGGTTCACAAACACAACCACCTGCCGCTCGGGGAGCCCCTGGGGGCTGCAGCTCCACCCAGGGGTCTCGGGGCCCCGTGGAATATCTGAGCGCAGGAGGCGAACAGCCTCCGCCTCCGGGCACAGGGACACCAGCCGCGCCGTCTGCCTGTCTGTCTGTGTGTCTGTCTGTCTGTCTGTCCGTCCGTCTATCCATCTGCCTGCCTGCCTGTCTATCTGCCTGTCTGCGTGTCTGCCTGCCTGCCTGTGTGTCTGTCTGTCCGTCTGTCTGTCTGTCTGTCCGTCCGTCTATCCATCCGCCTGCCTGCCTGTCTGTCTGCCTGCCTGCCTGCCTGTCCGCGTGTCCGCGTGTCCGCGTGTCCGCGTGCCTGTCTGCCTGCCTGCTCAGCTAGCCCTGCCGGGCGCCGCACACACACGGCCAAAAGCCCGAGGCAAACAGACTCCTCTGCAGAGGCCACCTACGTCTTTATTCTCCAGCACCTCCTGCTTCGTCTCGGGCTCCACTTCCACCAGCTCCGCGTCGTCCCCCTGCAGCCCGAAGTCGGGGCCGTCCATGGGGAGGGGGTCCAGGCTCTAGAGAGGGCGGAGAGAGAAACACTTGAAACCCGTCAGGCTCCAGCTCAGGGGCAGCTCTCCTGTGTCTGCCCCACGAGACACCTGCCACCTTACTCGCCTTCCCTCTGGTATCTAAACAGTCTGGGGATCAGGGACTCCATTCAGAACTGCTGAATAAGAAACCCCCCAGGAATCTTCAAGTTCCAAGAAACAATAACAATTCACATCACGAGATAAGAGGTCCTCATGCCTACAAACGCAAAGGAAGGGGGGACTTATGTGAAATGTTTTGTTTAGTCTAATATACAGAGTTCTTGAATGCTGTCCCTCTTACTGCTTTGAATTCATAAACCCATTACGACATAGAGGGCATTCAATAAAGTGATGATCTGCTGCTTCAATAGAAGAGCACTTAAATATCCGCTGAAGAAAACAAACCTTAAAAAAATAATTAAAATAACAACGACGGGAACACTAAAGCAGGCATTTACTGGCAGGTGCATCTAGCTCGCACATGCTGCCATGAAACAACGATGAGCAAAATTGCACATAGAACAGTTAGCGTTGACTTGTCAAACGCAAGCGGGCGACACGGGCCTACACCGGCACTGAGCGATGCGATCACAAAGGTCACCGAATACCCGCGCTCGCAGCAAAACTACATCCTCTTGTCCCGGAATAAGGTATTTACCCGGGCGTGGACAGTCCCCATGCTGGTGCAGTTCGCGCAGTATTACAGTCAATTCCAATCCTCTGTCACGGGAAACCATCAAAAAGTCACTGACTACGGTTCTTCCAGCCGAAGCCTGCCTATGGGGGACGCCATGACAGCCCCAGGCCCCGCCTCTCTCCAGCCTGATTGGACAGAGCAGGCGGGTGTAGGGAGACGCCATGTTTGTAGGGACAAAGTGCCCAACACCTTATTTTTGAACTTCAGTAAGTACAAACAAAAGAGAAAAGAAAAATAAAAACAGAACAATGCGCCTCTAGAGGTCATTAGAAATTGAAGCACAATAAGTTACATTTTTAGATTCATCAATTGTGTCTTTTTCCCTGTTATTTTTCAGGTTTTAATGGGTTTTAAGCAATATAACATTTCCACCTTGTAAGCACGAAAGCAGCTGTTAGCCATTTTGTGATGCTCACCAATTACTAGTGATAGATTAATTATAAGAAAGTGTTCTTTTTCTATATTACATCTTGCAAAGTTTAACATAATATCAAACTCCTTAAATCTAACATTCACATTTAAATGCTTAAGATAAAGGTGTACAAGTCAAAGAATAACAAAGAACAACCTTGTACTATATTCATACAGTTAATAAATAAACGTGTCTGTTTTATTTCCATCCTTGCACAACACACATGAATCAACTTTTTTATGTTTGAATCTAAGGCAGTATCTGTCAGGAGTTATCAGACTAATTTCCAGTCAATACTTGTCACTCCCTGTACTCCTAGAGGGCGCTCTGCTTCTGTCCTGTTCCTAGTCCCCTGTGATTGTTCATGTCTTTCTGGTGTGTCTGGTTGTGTTGCCTATTTACTTCCTGTGTCTGCTCTGCTCCTGGCTCAGCTTGAGGGTACGGATGTCCAGAGACCCGCCTAGCACCAGGTCGCCACACGTCTGTGGCCTGAGGGCACAGGTTTCTATACCGACATCGTCTGACCCCCTGAGCCTGGGCTAATCCCCATGTTGCCCTTTTACCACTACGCACAGGGTCTCTACTGCCCTCCTGGTCATTCCACAGCCTGCCCTTCAGACATCCGTGACAATACTCTCAAACACTGCACTCCAGAAGCATATACAGGGAGGAGTGAAGCACCATTCACACAGATTCTTCCTGTGGTTATTATTGAACAGATTATACATAAAACTCGGAAGGTCAGAACTGACAGAGTCAAACTCGCCACTTTCTCAGGGACAGTGTCAAAGACTCTGGCATCTTCCGAGGGGTGACTGGAATCTGAGATCTCTCCAAAAATTTAGAGTAAGTCCACATTGTCCAGCTAACCAAATCTTATTATGCCATGTCAGCAAGAATCTACTTTTATTTTTGTACTTAAAGTATTTGTTATTCCATATGTAAAGACCTGCTTGTGAAAGTTGAAGAACTCAGTCCGAAATTTAGTAACATCATTTTTGACAAAGTCAAGGTCACCTATTTTTTGAAAGACCAAATTGGGAATCAGGTTCCATATATTATGCTTGTTTATAATTTTGTTACCCAAGTGATTTTGTAGGGTTATATTTAAGGTATCAAAATCTAAAATGTTCTTCCCACCTTGGTTTTTGGGCATAACAAGATGTTTTTTGACATAATGGGGTTTATTCTTCCGTATGAAGTGATAAAGTAATTGATCAAAATCATCACAAAAGTGTTTAGGAATGTCCAGTGGGAGTGAGGCACACACTAAATGAGAAAAGCCCTTTGCTACTGACAGCAAGACACGACCTGTCAGTGTTAAATCTTTAATTAACGAGGACTGAAAGCTTTTTTTTTTGTTTTGTCTAAAAGGGATGATCTTGGCAAATGTTAATATCCAGATATGCAAACACTTTCTTTGGAGGTATGTTATCAATTATTCCTAAATCAGAATCTAAATCTAAAGCAGAAGAGAAAAGAGTTCACATTTGTTAATATTTACAGATGAACGTGGACCAGATGAAAACACAGGGATACCTTCAACAGCATTTGCCTGGGCTCTTCTGTCCTTCAGGAAAACAGTAGTATCATCTGCTAGGTGACAAAGTTTAATTTGTGTACCAGAAATATTCATACCTTTTATAGTGCTTTTATAATACAGTAGATATGAAGAGCCAAAGTTTGAGGTGCTAACGAAGACAGAACAGGCGATATTGGGTATCCTGTTTGGATACCTTGGGAAATCCCTTTGAAAAGTCTCAGTGAGCTGTTGCATCTCTTGTAAAGTGTCTGAACAACCAAACTGTGACCAAAGCCAAAATATTCCAAGCATCTGAAAATAATTTTGAGTTCTACTATATCAAAATCTATCTAGAAATGAACAAATTAGATCAAGGTGCCATGTTTCATGAGATCCCTCCAATCCACAAAATCCAAAATGGAATGTATACTAGTACATATACAGTATACGTCTGCCTTTCATGAAACCAGATTGTGACTCATCACTGATCCGGTCATTTCTTCACTGTTCGCGAATATTAAGGCCAACAGCTTCACATCATTGTTCAACAGCGACAGTAATAACTTCGCCAGCTAGTCTTATTATAACCCTTCGCTTGTATTTTCAAAACCCTGTCTGATTTTAAGCGTGTTCCTTGTTCCAGTGAGGGAAAGCAGCTAGCACCTTTACATTATTTTCTCAAGGTAAAGCACAGATGAAGGTTTTGATTAAGGCATTTAATAACTGATCTTAATTAATCTTTCACCGTTTAAATGGAATGGAAAACTTGGTGGCAGCTGTTTGTCCTGTCAGGCATGTAGTACACATTCCTGCTATATCCCAATCAGGTGGGTAGCTGCGTCAGCATGCGTAGGCTGCAAAGGAACAAGTGATAGGTTTATTCCCTGCTGAAAAGAAAAGAGAGAAAACACTTGAAGGTTCCACAGCTGAAACGCTGTGATTTCTTTCTTCTCTTTTCAGCAGGGAATAACCCTATCACTTGTTCCTTTATATCCAAATCAGGTTTTGCTCATTGCAGAGCTTCTCCTCTTCCTCAGTCCAGCCCAGTTTATTTGTCACATGCACCGGTGCAATGAGCAAACGTCTAGACCAGAAGACACATTACGATCGGAAGGCTAAAGAGCTCCAGCTCCTGCCTGGGGACCGAGCCCTCATGTAGATGGCAATGCCCTGCGAGTGGCCGTGGCAGCTGGAGGGCTGGGTCCTGGGCACGCTCGCACCGTGCCAGCTCCTAGGTCACAGCCGCGTGCCCAGTTCAGTCTTGCACTGATCCCTGAACTCTTCGTCTCTGTCTGCGTGAAGGAGCCTGGCCTGGAGAGCAGATGACTCAGAGTCACCTTTTACTGGCTTTAGTAATCGAACCAGAGAGGAACTCAAAACTGCTCCACCGAAGATGCTGCTCAACCAGTGATGCTGTATCGTCTGTGCCTCAACAGTTCACAGCTCTGCTAAGCTTCCCTGCTTAGACACAGACAGAGACCCCGCTCTCCTGCATGGCAGACTGGGAGAGCTCGGGAAACATTCTGAATATGCAGAGCTGTAGATCTAAAAGGTAGAAATTCACCTCAAAATGGAGGAAAAGGAGCAGAACTCTGGGCTCCTGACAAGGAGAGCCATCTGAGGAAGACCTTTCTCATCCACGCAGTCGTGAGAGCAGGCCCTTTTCTTGTCGAATGGCTGAGAAGACTATTAAACTGGAAAAAAATCTGGTTAAACAGCCGGAGATGTAAAAAGGAACTCATACAGTTCATTGCATGTCAACCCAAATGTGGAATGTTTCGGCTGGCTCCTAAAAAAGCTGGGTAGTTTTTTTGTTTTGTGGCCGGTGAGTGGATTGCATGAGAGCTCTTTCCCAGTGCCATGAAAGGGAATGTGTTTTCTTCTCTTTTTCCAGGCGTTTTTTTTGCAAAGGGAAGCAATTGGGCGTATAATTTCTATCCTGCTCACTACAGGGGACCCCTCTTTATTCCCTCTGCTCCTATTATCCAGAGCTAATTAAGTGCTTTGAGTCCCCAAGCCTTCCATTAAATTCATTACTGTCGAAATCATCCCAGCAAGTCAGATGTCCTGTAAGTTTATTTTCAAACATTTTGGTCAGTGACTGCAGAAGAAACAGACACTTTGATTGTTTTTTTTTATTAAACTTTAATCCGTGGTTACAACAGGACTTTCTTAAAGAGTCTACTAAATACACTGTTTTTCTTTTCAAACCATTGCAGACATACAGTAGCACTTATTTTCCAGTTGAAAGGCACAAAAAAGTGTTGGTCAATATGACTGAAGTCCATGCTGAACACTATTTTATGTGTTAGTGTACTGGCAAGCAGGTGTCATGGGGAGGACTGCTTTCAATTAATAAATATTTTCACATTTAATAAAGTTATTTTAAAAAGCACATTTAATGATATTTTCCCAAATAAAATGGTACTGATTAAATACTGCTATTGCATTCTATTAAATTGATAGTGGAACTCAACTGGATTCAAGTCTAGCTATTTTTATTTTTTCCCATATTCCACCATTGCTGCTATGGGGTCCCATTTTGTGAAATTACAAAATGATGCATGCACATTTTTAAACTTAATATTTTATTTAAACATGGCTTAAACCTAAGACTTTTAAGGGCAAGATAAGATACAATACATGTCAATAATCAAGATAAGAGATGAGATCACTTTATTGGTCAGATACAATTTCTTGCATGAGGAATTTGTCTTTTCGCAGACCCCAGCTTGCTCTCCATGAGACACACAGACAGAGAGAAGCTGGGGGTCAGAGCGCAGGGTCAGCAGTTTATATGGCACCCCTGGAGCAGCTGGGGTGAAGGGCCTTGCTCAGGGGCCCAACAGAGTAGGATTCCTCTGCCGGCCGTGGGATACAAACCAGCAACCTTCCAGCCACAGGCGCAGATCCTGAGCCACAGAGCCAAACAGAATATGCTGAATGTAGTGTATAATAAGTATTCTGACTGTGAAAACACCTTTGGCAGCAATCACAGCTGCAACTCTTTTGGGGGACAAGTTTTGCACAGAAGCTTTGTGAAATTTTTGTCCATTCCTTTTGCTCATTTGCATAAGCAGTCTGACGTTTCTATGTGATGCATTATGTTGAGTTTGTGTTACTCTTTGCATTAAGACCAAAAAGTTTCAATTTTATCTTGTGTGACCGCAGAACATTTGCCACATGCTTGCAGTATCACTTAGGTGCTCTGCCAGATTTTTTATTTCATTTCCATGCAAGCCCTCTTGGAGTGACTGGGATGGTGTTGTCTCCTGGACATGCTCTCCTGTCTCAGCCGCTGTCATGGCTGGCCTCACAGTTGCATCCCGAATCTCCTTGACTGGCTGCTCGGTTTGGAAGGGCAGTCTGACCTAGGCAGTGTCTTGATCTGTTCCACTTCTTAATGATCGACCTCATAAACGACTTTGAAAAGTTTTTATACCAATCGCCTGATCTTTGGCTTTATACAACTTCATCCCTGAGATGTTCCGAAAACTTCTTGGTCTTGGTTGAACCCGTGTTTGAAAGTGACAGGTGTTTTGTATTGAACCTTTATTACTGCAGACACAGAGAGACCATCCAACTAACTGTGTTTCTAGTTAAGGTAGTTTTGTGCACCTGCTACAAATTAATTTGGGTTCGCCACAGCGATGGGGTCGACTACTCATAACTTTGAGCTTTCTTTCAAACTACTTATTTTTGTTGTTTTTTTTAATATGTGGAATAGGTTATGTTTACAACGTATGTTGCAATTTCAAAGTGTCATGACTGCAAGCTTCGAAGCAACACATTCTGGAAACTGTGCAAGGGTCTGCATACTTTTGCAAGGCTCTGTATATTCTTCCATTAATTATGTAGTTAATGAAGGGTCAGTTTTTATACAGTATCTACACACACGTTTAACAAGCATGTGTTCAGTAGGAGGAACCTCTCTAATTGAAAGATACCAAACCATCCTGTAAGCTCCTGTGTCTCCTTGACCAGTTGTGTTTAATCCCCTGATGGTTTGGAGACCCATTCCTACGGCAGGGTATGTGTCCTTCTGACATCTGAACCCCCAGATTCCCAGTCCAGCACTTGGACTGCTCCTCCACTCTGCTGCTGTAGCTCACCCTCTCTCTCCACAACAGGAGGAACATACTGTGGCAACCAGGGCCCCTTCATTCTCAATGTCCCCCATGTTCTGTCATTACTGATGCTCTGGACACCAACACTCGATTGCAGTTACCAGTTGCCTGTACATTTTGACCTCTCAGAGACTTGGGCAAATAAAGCAATGAGATCTTGTCCAGCTCATCAAATATTTCCGCCATTGAAGTCACTGGGAGTTCCGATGGATAACAGAAGGTAATGCAGCGATCCAGGAGCTGTTCAAGAAAATTCACTGGTGGTAACAAACTGGAGGAAATAACTCCGGCCCAGGATGTAATTCTGCCTGTTGGCAACAGTTTTAAGCTCGAATTGAGGGGATCATTCCTCTTGTTACAACAAGCGAAGCCCTTTGTAAACAGATGCATCAGCCCTTGTTTAAAAGAGCTCTCTCTCGCCCCTCCCCCAGGAATGATGCTACTGTACATTCAAGATTTCTTGACCCAATCATGAATCGACAGACCTCTGTTTGATGTGGTGAAACATGAAGACATAACAAACATTGATCGCAACACTTCGGAACATTTAACAACCTTCAAGTCCTGCAGTCAGAGAGAGAAAAATACACAAGTGCAGTAGACCTTGTGAAGGTTTTTTAAACGTGTCTCCTAGTTTTACAATTATTTATACCAGTTCATTAAAGAAAATGTTATCTTTAATAAGAAAATACATACATGTGTGGGTCAGTGTGGACCAGTGTGGACCAGTGTGGGCCGGTGTGGGTCAGAGTTTGCCAGTTTGGGTCATTCTGGACCACTGTGGGCCAGAGTACCAGCTCTCACTGGTACAGACTGGAGGACTGTGCAGCAGACTGACCCCTCTCCCTGTGCTGGTACAGACTGGAGCCCTGCTGGTCTCTCGGTGTCTGTGCAGCAGACTGACCCCTCTCCCTGCGCTGGTAAAGATATTTTATAATGATCTTTCCTTGGTACTTGGTGTGTATTTCACCAAGTGTGTGTATCTGTGGGGTGATCTGGCTGGATGAAGGCTTTATTAGAGTGAGGGACGGACAGCTGTGACCTTTCACACATGGACCTCAGTGCTGAAGGTCAGTCCAGGTTGTCCCTCCTTTCATTGTGAGCTGGACCCAGTGAGCTTGGCTGCTAGATAAGATAAGATGACTTTATTGGCCATATACAATTTCTTGCCTTGAATTTGTCTTTTCGCAGACCCCAGCTTGCTCTCCATGAGACACACAGACAGGGAGAGAAGCTTGGGAGGGAAGCATTTGTACAGCACCCCTGGAGCAGCTGGGGTTAAGGGGCCCAACGGAGTAGGATTCCTCTGCTAACCACAGGATTTGAACCAGCAACCTTCCAGCCACAGGCGCAGATCCTGAGCCACAGAGCCACCACTCCGCTATAGGTTTGCTCTGCTGTTGTAGGTGGATTAAACGTCTGAAAGCCTTTACCTCTCAATAAAGAGCATTACTCCCTTTTCCTGACCTGCTTGCTCAGAGCCCTGCCCAAAGCATGTCAATGCTGCAGTAATAATCATCACTGTTTTGCAGTTTTGGCAAAAGAGATTTTGTTTGTAACTTGAAAGGGTCTTAAAAATCCTTATTTCAGAACGCCTTATACGTTTATATTTAGCTTTCCAGCAAATTCCATTGCCTTTCGCTTTTCCTAGTACAAAGGATGAGAGTTAGTCAAATAATGCGTTTTGCTCCGATAGGGCTCTGTTTTGCAAAAGCCGTTGGGGACGGAGAACGACCTTGTGTTCCCGGCTGCGCTCTATCCATGGCCACTAGATGGCGCCTCAGAGAGGATTGCTGGTCTGTGGGTGAGAGTGCGGTACTGGTCGTGCCGGCAGAGGGCGCAATGGCCACACGAAGGTAGTCTAGACTTTTGAGGATTTCAAGACCTCGGAGGACCCTGGACGCTCTTCAATTTCTCTTGACTTGTTCAATAACTTTTTTAAGGTCAAGTTAAAAATAAAAATAGATAGCTAAAGAGGTTTTATGCTTCCAGCAATTTTTTATATGAATAGATAAAAGGGCACGCCAAAGTAGATATTAGTTTCACATGCTGTAATGAATTTACACAGACGCTGAAAGAATGAAATACATTGGCACGACTAACAAGGTCAGTTTAGATTGTTTTGATCTCATTCTACCTTCTCGTGAACGCGTGTACCTCATCCATTTGTTAATAAGAAACTGGTGTTTGTATTCACTCGGCTCACAGACAAATCAGAGTGCCGGTCATCTAAAAGACGCTCAGAGCCCTGTCTGAAATGAATCGAGAAGCGCATGTTTCTTAACCTGCTTAAAACTCCCTCCCAGTGTGGTTGGGCACGGCGCGTTAGGGTACGTTCACCCCATCACAGGCAAGCCCGACCTGGAGCTCGAGTTGATGAAGCCGGGGCGAGTGCCCAATTAGTTGTTTTCACGGGCAAACCAGTTAACGTGCTTATCTCTCTCTCTCTCTCCCCATCCCGGACGGCGTCGATTTTAAACGCACTTCACACATTTCACGTCTCTCCGGCGGCGAGGGGGACTAAGCGCGCGGGGGGGGGCGCACTATTCTTTTTTGATGAACTTCGGCGGATCCCGTCCCCGGTCCCACCCATAGCTAATGAATGGGACTACCCCCCCACCCCTCTCTCTCTCCCTCTCTCTCTCCCCCTGAACCTCCTATCTCCTCCTTAAAGGAGTGCAGGCCAATCAGGGAAGGGCGCCGGGCTGGTCGGGCTCACGGATTTCTCGCTCTGCCGGTCCCCGAGCACCGCTCTTATCTCAGAAACAAGAACCCAAACTGCGCTCAATCACAGCGTGAACATGGGCACTGTCTCCTTTCCATGGGACTTGTGTTTGTTTTTCCTCCTCATAAATACTTGTGCTGTTTCGGGAAACGTTGGACTCGCAGGTAAGAAGCTGTCCCCTCTCTCTTTCCTATTGCCTTTTCCTCCCTATCATGTACAAAAAAATAATAACTACTACTTTCCCATCACCTTTATCTTAATGTTGCAAAGGAAATATTCAGATTTGTTTTATTTGAACGAATAATGGCATGCTACATTATGAATTCTGTCCGTGTAAAAAAAAAGATGAATGCATGAACTTTTAGAATGTACACCATTATCCAGCTCAGATCAAGAGAAGGACAATCGTATTTTCACCTTAACTGGGTAGAGGACGTGTTGCTAAAAAGAAAAGGTAGTCATTTTAAATAGTTGTGTTTTCTTGTGTGTATATGCTGCGCAAATAATCTTAATCTGTATATTAACGCTGATTCCATGTAGTTTGACCTCAGACATCGACATTTTTCAATACCATACCTATGTAAAAAACTTCGGGTTTGTTTTAGATTTTTGATAAGTATTCAAGAAGAAAAGGCATTGTCCATCTGAGGTGAAGGTCCCGCAAGAGCGGAACTGATGCCTTTGAGTCGGAGCTCATCTGGCGCTGCGCTTCTTCCATCGCCTCTCAACAGAGGCACGCAGACCTGGGGCTGTTCAGGGCTTACAGGGGTGACTCTTCTGGGTTTACAGCGGCGACTTCGCTGGCTTCGCGTTGTGAGAGTGTGGTCCCGCTACGCTGTTTAATGCCGCGGAAGGCTGCGGGCGCTTTTGTTGTTGTTGTTTTAATTCTCCGGGCGGCGTGCGGACGGCCAGGGCAGTCACGCCGCCGAATGCGCGAGATGGGTTCTAGTTAATGAGTCCAGATCTGACAGGGCGCTTTCGCCTCCTGTCGCCGAGCCAGCGGAGCGCATCACGAAACGCCCAAGCTCCTGGCCTCGGTGCTCCCCCTGGGACCCGGGAGAGGAGAACCGAGCCCAGACCGGCCCTAGAGGACCTGGGAGCAGGTCCACATGAAGAGAGGCGTTTCGGCCGAGCGCGTCTCCTTCTTAGCAACTTTAAAAAAAATATTCCAGCGACTAAACTGGTCCTGCCTTGTGCCTATATTAAATATTACAAATAAATGATTTACCTCTATTAATTACATATCGCATGTAACTCCCATATTGCGTTATAATGACAACAGATTGTAATACTGCATATGTTGAAGTAATTAATTGTGTTCAGATACTCTTCTGCCAATCCAGGGAGACTTTATTGGTTTACTGTTAAAAATACAAAGCTATACTTTGACTCCAAATGAGGTATCATTGAGTATTCAAGTCCATTTCTCAACTGAGAACCACATCAACATTATTTTTGTGATTATGGTGTTTAATAACTGATTTCTTACCCGCTGTTTGTCGGAGCTGTAGCTGTGTGGTTTGTGCTCTTCGGCAGTGGTGTTGTGACCCTGCCCAGACACTGAGAGCCAGCTGTGTGCAGGGCCCTCTCCGTCTCCTGCACCCAGCTTTCCTCAGGTGTACTCGTGTCCTGTTCTACCTGTGTCAGTCGTGGGATTCCCTTTTCTTCAGTAAATGTCACCTGAGAGCAGGCGTTTAAACCTGTCCCAGGATCCTGGTAAAAAGACTGAGTCCCCGAAAAGTGGCGTGTTTAAGACCGCTGCCCTGACACAGTCATGTGCTGCTGGATCGCAGTGCGTCTCTTCTAAAGAGGACCAAGCACAGCCCCCTCTTTCACCGCAGTGTTGCACATTGTTATGTAAACACAGGGGTTGTGCAAGAAGTTCTAAACGTCTCCTCACAATGCCGACCGTAGCTGTGATCTGTAATAATGAGATGGGGAAATGAGATGCTATTGAGTGCAGAATTCCCCTTGAGAAGACCCAGATGTGACTGCCCGCGTTAATGACAAGTCAGTCAGCCCCAAGCCAGTGCAGAACAGCTGAATTCATTTGGACATAGAGACATCAATCTTTGTTCTGCCAGAGGGGCCTGGTGTAATGATATTTATTTAGGGGTCTCCCAGGAACAGGGGTCCTTTTTTATAAAAGCACAGTTTTCATCAAGGCATTTTTCTTCAAGATTTGTAGTTAAACTTGACTTCCTCCTCATTTTTAAGTTTGTTAATTCAGTTGTTTGATCATGAGTGTCTTGTCCGTGTCGATGTGTCGTCGGTCCGGGTGTACCGTTATTATCTTGTCAATTCTTTTCCTCAACCTTCCCTGCTGGTTCTCACAATATTTCATGAAGACAAAAAAAAACAACAAGCTAATCATGAAAAAAATAGAAGACAATCAAAATCATTGTGTGCTCACAGGTATTTTCAAAGCTTTAAGGAAGGAACAGCCAGTTTCTTCTGTTATTTCCCAAATTTACTATGGTAACATAAAATATCTAATTAAATAGGATAAAATGAGGAATTCTAAAAACACTTGTGTGTTATATTGTGAAATTGTGGGTACAACAAAAAGCAAATACAAAGTTCAGCTGTTTTTGATAGAAAATATGAATGGCTGATATCTCATCCTCCACTGGTGATGTCTACATGGAAGTCATCTCTTTGATGTCATTCATGTGGTCAGTATTGGCCTGAACCATATTTGAAAAATGGCTTAAAATTACATGCAGTGCTTTGAAACTAAACAGGCACAAGGTAACTGTGAATGTAAAACTGTAACCGTGTTTGTTGTTGTCAGTGCTTGCCTGCCAATCGCCAGGCGATGAAGTTTGTCATTATAATGAAAAGCTAAACTGTGGTTTAATGGTTTGTGTGGGTCTGAGTGGAAAGCTATTCATCACATCATGTGTGCATTTAGTATTGCGCAGGAATCAAAGTCCTCATTTGTTTGGCTAACTGCGGTAGTGTAGGGGTTTCTACCAGAGACGTGCGTTTAAAATGCCCAGAAATGTTGCTTTCTTTCACAGATTACACAATCAAGTGTAACAGTTTAGAGTCGGTTTCCAGCCTAAAGTGGGACAAAGTGTCTTGCTTTCTGCAAAAGTGTTATTTATTTTAGTGTCACTGTTTGACAGAGCATTAAAATGGAAAGAAATCCATCTTGGACTAATCATGCATTTTAGTGTTGTGATTTTTTATGTGAGGACCTTTAAAAAACATTTATACTTACCTGTTTTTGTAAATCTCCTAAAAACTAAAATCACATTGTTGAAAACCGATTCCCAAATCAGAATGACTTGCCGTAAGGTCTGAGTAGTTTGTGAAGATGCACAATTGAGGCGAAGTACACGCAAAGTGGGTCTGATTAGTTTTCACAGTTTTCTTTCCTTTCAGCCTGTTCCATCACAGCTCTGTGAAACACACACTGTTTAATTATACTATTGAAGTTCGTTACAGATCGATCAGAAAAATTAGGCCTAGCTAGTCCAGACCAGACTCTGCTGTAGGAAGGAACTCCTGGGGTGGGTTCTGCCTGCTCCTGCGACAGACTCTGGTCTCCTCCAGCAACATGTCGATTCACAGTCTGTCTCCTCCCCGTGTACCGAAAGGGTTTGAGTTCTCGTGTGATTCTATGTCATTTGGTTGTGCTGGTTTTGTCCGCATTTTGTCCGGTTTTGTTCTTTATTTCAGCAATTTCAAAGAACAATACCAAGGAATTAGTCTTTTGTGCATTTGAGCCAGACTTTTATGATGATGGATAATGTTGATTTTGGCTGAGTAACTACAGCATTCTTACTGCGGGAATCCTAGAGAAAACATGCATTCCCAGTAAAAATGTGGCATTCTCAGACGGGAGGGGTGTGTTTCTCTGCCCCTCATGCACTCATGTCTTAGGAGCAGAATCTTAAGCCTTGAAATAAAAAAATCTACAGCTGTAACCCAGCTCTGGAAGAGCCTGTCTGAGCTGAGCCCCGTCACAGCTGCAGCTGTAACCCAGCTCTGGAAGAGCCTGTCTGAGTCGAGCCTGGTCACAGCTGCAGCTGTAAGCCAGCTCTGGAAGAGCCTGT